CAGCTGTAGTGTGCATGTGAAGAGCAATTCGGCTTCGGCTCTTCGGCTCTTCGGCTTCGGCTTCGGCCACAAATGCACCTGAGGAGGGAGTTCAGCTATGGAAGGTCGTTCCCTTGCAACCTCAAGACAAGCGCGTCAAGCCTTGCTCAAGATCCCGAGCAATGGGGGCACAAAAGAAGCGACGGGGGACAGAGCAGTGCATGAAGCCTCTTGCGGAGGGATGTGCGGATCGACATGGATGTGAAGCGTGGTATGTGGGGTGTCTTAGCATGCGCAGTACTGCAAGAAAAATGATGCAAACGTCGCCCCAACAATTCAAGACGGAACAGGGGCGAGTCTTGGGAACAGGACCTTGCAGATGACCAAGGACACGGTGCAATGAACTGCTGCCTTGTGGAGCAGGTGCAGGCCCCACGCAAGCTTGCGAGGGAGGCCTTCATCTTCTGTGATCTCTATGCCTGAGCTTTAGAGCGTTGCCCCGAGCTCGCACGCAGCCCCTCTTTTTTTTGGAGCCTGTCCATGGCCTGCCGTGGCCGTGCCTTACTAGGGGCACTAACGTGCGAGCGCTTTTCTTGCAAGCGCTTTGTGACCAAGCTCAGCCCTGCCGGACGAAAGGGCAACGCACGTCACTCAGAAGAACGTCTGCGATGACTTCTCCTTGCGCGTCGCAGACGTGCCAACGCCTCTGAAAGGCCTGATAGCGCAGGTCTTGCTACGGGGCTTCTGCGCGCCAGCATGCAGCTAGCAGCCCGAAATTTGACAGCACTGATTGTGCTAAGCAGGGACTGCTTGGGTGGGGAGTCTGCCATGCACACGAAGCATGAGGCAAGACAACGCGTTGTCCGGTCATGGACCAAGGTCACGCAACTTAGGCATGTTGCGGCAGCTCAGCAAGTAAACATTCGATCAGGGTTTCTGGCTTTGGGCTTCGCTTTGCTGACATTCGGAGCGCTCATGCCTTCTGTCGCAGGTGAACACAGCCAGGCCTACGCTTCTTGGAGGACCGACTGCACAATCTGCATGCTCACCTGAGCTTCAAAGGGCAGAAAACATTTGAATCCTCAAGCCCTTGACCTTGCAGAAAAGCCCACACCGCTTCAGATTTTGCATATCTTATACAGTCTTCTTACAATCTTGGGGGTTAGTGCGGGTCGGGAGGAGGCGGGGGGATCATGACATCCATACCGCGACCATGCCCAAAATGGTGGGTACCGCGTTGTTGCGGATTGCGCAAGACACTGTGGCAAGCGGTCGTGCCTTTGGCGACCATGCCCACAACACGAGTATTTACAGTGCTTTTGTCGTTTTTATCACAAGCATTCATGCCTTTCGCAAGCCCAAAAACCTGCAAACCCGGCGCCCTGGCAGGATGTAGGGGCGGCTTGCGTTTAGACACGGCAAGCGAAAAGCGCGCATCTCCGCTGGTGGCCAGAGCAGGGCTTCGAGCAAGAGACGCGACAACAAAAAAAAACAAGAAAAAACTTCGCGCGAAGTCCCAACACATGTGTTCAAACGCACGGGCCTCAGGCGCCGGCACCTTGATGAGATGTTTTGAGATGACGTAAAAAGAGTTGGAGGCGTGTTTCAATTTGAGATGGTCTTCAGATGTTTCTGCGCACCCCTCCAACGTTCGGGCCAGGCAATCCATCTCAAACGGGGTTGTCCAAACGGGGTAGTCCAGCATCTTCGCCGACCATACATGACGAAAACCAAAAGCGTGCTCGGAATTCTGCTTTGTGAAGCAGGCATGGCACTTTCGGCATGCGCGTCCTTAGCAGCTTTAGCGCAATCTGAGCCTGGCTTAAGCATCCATTGTCGTAACCCCAGCTTGCGCGGTCATCTAGCGCTGTTGGGGTCTGTTGCTGCGAGAATGCGCCTTCTACGGTGCGGTTTTCGGTTTAGGACTGAGAGGTTTAGAGGCTTATGGGATGCCATATCGGGGGGGGGGGGGGGGCCACAAACCTGGTACCCGACACCCTGAACCCTAAACTTGAAAACGACTTCAGAATGATCCCGCCTCGCCATAGACTTGGTGGCGAGACTCATGGCCCTTCTCAGCTGCAGCCTCATTGACATCGAGCACTCAAACCAACATGGTTTAGGGTTTAGGGTTTAGGGTTTAGGGTCTAGGGTCTAGGGTCTAGGGTCTAGGGTCTAGGGTCTTAGGGTTTAGGGTTTAGGGTTTCGGGTTTGGGTTTAGGGTTTAGGGTTTAGGGTTTAGGGTTTAGTTTAGGGTTTAGGTTAGGGTTTAGGGTTTAGGTTTAGGGTTTAGGGTTTAGGGTTTAGGGTTTAGGGTTTAGGGTTTAGGGTTTAGGGTTTAGGGTTTAGGGTTTAGGGTTTAGGGTTTAGGGTTTAGGGTTTAGGGTTTAGGGTTTAGGGATGTGATCATAGGCCATGCAGACTTAGCTATCCAAGTGTGGCCGCTGGGTAACCATCTAGGCATTGTCCCATTGGTGTGACAGACTCTGCAACATGAGTTTTGCAAGCCTCATCTAACAGCAAGTGGCCACGCTCCAAACACAGGCACGTGGTCATTTGCACGCCGCCGTGGTATGTGTCTGCAAATTGACATAAAGATTTGACAAAAGACGTAAAGACCCAAGACAAACAAGAGCATTTGTGTTGTGCTCCAGCGGGGCCCCGACCCTGCACCTGTTTGACTGTTTAGGGCTTTAGGGGCTTAGGGCTTTAAGGGTTTCAGGGGAAAAAGTGCCAGAGCCTTGACTCGGATGCTCGGATTGTTCGGGTACCCTCTCTCTTCTTTGTAGAAAGTCCCCCTTCCCCCCTTCCCGCTTCGCATATCGGATTCTTTAAGGCCACTGTTGCAACACGCCGCCCCCAGCCTCTTCGAAGTGTTGCATCTCGTTGCGTTTCGTTTGCATTTCGTTGCATCTTCGTTGCAGGTCTCTCAGAAACTCCAGATTCTAGCAATGAACATCAACTCGGATGGCTTCATTCTGAGTAAAACTAGCTGCAGGGAGTCACATCACCAAGCTCCTGACCACGTGATTGTCGAAGGCATCGGCCTGCACGATGGCGCAGAGCTTAGAAGGAGCTTAGGGTTTACAGTTTAGGGTTTAGGGTTTGGGGTTTGGGGTTTAGGGTTTAGGGTTTAGGGTTTAGCGTTTAGGGTTTAGGGTTTAGGGTGTGCTTCTGTCTGTTTCCCATGGGTTTCGATTCACGTCTCTGTACCCATGGTCACGATTCCTGAACTGAGGGCGTGTGATGAGTTTAGCCAAGTGATGCACTGCAAAAAAGGCACAATTCCGCTGCGCGCTTCCACAATACCGCCGAAGGACTGTGAAGGGATGACTGCCCCCCCCCCCCCCCCAACGACTAAAAAAGTAGAAAATTAAAATTAAAAGCGCAGAAAAGTTAAAAGAAGCTCAGAGAGGACTCAGGGAAGGCCGGCTCCGAGTCCCCGACCAAGGACAAGCCAACTTCGAGTCTCCCGCTTCTGACCTCAGTATAAGGGGTTTGCCTTCATATGAAAGCCGTGTCTTGCCTTTGCACATGCGCTTTCTCCGACTGGTGTGAGGCCCCCACCTGCTGAAGCACCTGCTGACGCCGCACCTTCTCCTATGGGCGAACACTTGACATTGCAGTGTGAGATCTGAGCATGCACCCTGAACCCTAAACCCTAAACCCTAAACCCTGAACCCTAACCTGAACCCTGCAAAGACCCATACAGTAGACTTGCAGCCTTGACGAAAGCAAAGGCGGGCATGGCTTGATAGGCACAAGCTTTTCTCGCGGAAACTCGAGGCTTCTGCTCAAGCCCCCTGCGAGAATGAACGGCTGTTTCTGCTGCTTCTACTGCGGTTCTTTGTGTAGTTCCAAACCAGATTTGGAGAATGTTCAGCTTTGGGTGTTTGAGTGCTTGCTGGACTGAACGGCACACGTAACTTCGTAAGGACCTTCAGAACCTCACGCGCTCAACATGCGCGAATCTGAGCAAGTCTTTTTTCGAGAAGTGTAATCGTTTGGATGCTCGAAACATACGTCCTGGCTGTTGATGTTGCCTCATGAACCAAAGCAGCCCAACATGGTTTGGCAGAGCAGCAGTTTTCGCCGCCTTTGAATGAGCTGGACCAAGGAGTCCACTGTCTGCCAAGTCTGATTTTTCATGGGAACAGGCAACGAAAGTCCCTGCAAGCACAAAACCCCTGACTCGATTATCTTGTGCTCCCACACAACCTTTCTGGACTGCTCGCGAACGTCACAAGTAGATGTAAAATGGCGGCCCTTGCGTGCAAGAAGACTAGAAACGGTGGACGATGGATATGTCGAGCACGAGGAGCTTCTTTGTTCTGGTATTCCCCACAAGCAGCTGAAGCTAGATTCTACACTCCCCTTAGAACCTTCATAAAAATAGTATGTTTAATATCCTCTTGGGTTATATTAAAAAAAGAGAAAAAAAAAAGGGGATATAGGATTCTTGTCACGGTATCAAGGTGTTCCATTGTCTGGCCAGTACTTCTGCCAGCGACCACACAACATGAGAGCCGTGCATGTGCAGGTTTTGCCGAGAATTCCGAGAGGCGCCACGGACATCTGACACTACCAATTGCTTGAGAAGGCCCCAAAAAATTACAATATCTTCCTGAAAAGGGAAATATAGAGGGAGTACTATTTTTGCAATTTTTTTGGGGGGGGGGGGAGGGTGGGGTTCTTCAGCAAATAGTAGGATATCGGTTCTACCAGTCAGTGTCAACCAGGGCCTTCGGCCACACAGACACCGGCCATTGCCAGGATGCCAGCAATTCGATGAGGCTGATCACGGCGTTGCGTGAGGAAAAACACACAGGAACGTTCACGTTGTCGGAGGCTCTGAGCCAAGTGCCCTGTCAGATGTAAAGGGAAATCAAAGGTCTCATATTGACCTTCTGGAGGGTCACCTGATCAGGAGACCGCGAGGAGAGAGGAGAGAGGAGCCTTCGTTGAGAGCTCTTCGGAGAGCCTCTCAGACTCTCCAATTCTCTTGTCTGGCGCAGATTGCCTTAGAACGGAACTTCCACATAACCGTCGGCTATCGCCAGTGACGACACCCTTCGGCACTCCGACGTGTCCCCTTGAAGGCCCAGCTGAAGGAAGCGCGGGATCGACTGTCCTGTGGCAAAATCGGCCGCGGCCCAGTTCCGGGAATTCCGGAGATCCAGCCTGGCACCGGCTGCGATGAGGACCGCTGCAGCCTCGAACTGAGCTGACTTGACGGCCTGCATCAACGGCGTGCTGCCGTGCAGGTGATAAGCATGAGCTGTCATAACGGATCTCCGGCCAAGACGGTGCTGCAAGGACTTCAGGCCCACAAGAAGTCGGCCCACGGGCCTGTAGTCGCGAGGCAACTTGAACTGAAAGTTGATGTCGGCCCGGAGTTCGATGAGGTGGAGCACCAGCTCCGCCTCGCCACCCCGAAACGTTGCCGCCCCCCAGAGGGCTCTTGAAAGCTCCAGTGAATCTGGGCCCCCCTGTAGCACCAGCTCCTTCAGAGCTGCAAAGGCCGCATAGGAGGCTGCAGCCTCCAAGTTGGTGGCCCCAACCACATTCTTGGCCAGTGGCCTGAGGCCTGCTACACAGAGTTGCCGGATACCAAAGGCGTTGTCAGAGATTGCCGCAAAGACAACCGGGCTGCCAGCAAGCCCACCCTCCAGCTGGGCCCTCACCGCAAGAAGCCATCGCGTGGCCTCCTGGTGCTTGTAGAAGCTGGCAATTTCAAGCACAGACATCCAGGGTGGGAAGCCCAGCATGGGCTCATCCTTCGACGTGCGCCGCTTCAGATCCGCGCGCTGCTCCACGAGGCCCTTCAGCACCGCCAAGTTCCCTGCGAGGGCCGCGTAGTGCAGCGGGCGCCATCCTGCGCCGTCGGCCTCGTCGACGCTCGTGAAGCCGTTCTGGTGGAGGAACTCTGCCACTGAGTCGACTGAGTCGGCTGAGTCCACTGTAAGGCTGGGAAGCAGGCCACCCACCGGCGCAATCTCCAGGCCCTGCAGATGGACTGCCTGGAGGTTAAAATGGCGCCGGAACCCGGGAAGGTCACCTGCTCGGAGGCAGTGAAGCAGCTTCTGCACCAAGATCTGCCGCATCACCGGGGCCAGCTTCTGGCGATCATCCGCCACTGTGAAGTCGCCATCACCAACCCATCCACTCGGAAAGGACAGCACCGTGCCAACAACCTCCATGGATGTATCGCTGCGGATCAGAATCCAGGTGCTGTCTCGTGACAGCTCGCGTGCTGCGCGCTCGAGGCGGCACCATCCTCTCCGACTCCAGGTAGCTGCCGATAAGACCTTGCCCTCGAAGGGGCAATCGAGGACCGGGCAGAGGGCCAGGAAGAAGCGGCACTTGGCGACGTAAGCTGGGATGCTGTTGATAGCACAGGCCTGCTGGCTTCCGTCTGCTTCCGCGCCGAAAGACTTCCGTTCCTCCAGCTGCGGGCATGAGAAATAGTCGTACCAAACGAACAAGGCCTGCACCTGAAATTCTTGCATGGGAATCGGCTTGGCTGTCCGCACGAAGCTCTCAGTAATCTGGTCGAGTGAAACAGACCCGCGGCCGCCGAGGAGACGCTTCAGCGCATCCTGCAGATTGCGCATCTGCTTGAAGTCAGGATCCGGGTGGTGGCTGGCAAGCCACTGATGCGAAACGAAAGCTGCCCTTCCCATGACGTCGCTGAAGATGATGAGCTCACCCCGCGCCTCCAAGGCACCGGAAAATCTCTTAAGGGACATCAGTGAAGTCAGTCCTACCGAACCTCCTTGGTGACTCCGGCCCTGTACTTGAGGTTCTTCTGAGCAGGTCAATTCAAATTCCATGTCGCCTGTGATTCTGCTACGGCGACTACTTTGGGCACATGCTTGACATCACAGCATTCAAAGGTGTTCAGCTCGACATGAGTCCGGCACTGACTTTCTCAGACTGCTCTCCCCTCACGTGTCTCGATTTGAAACGCCTTCAAAGGGATCTGCCGCCCAGAGTTGTCGCTTGGAGCCGTGCTTTCCCTAACTTGGCGGTTTCCATAAGCATTCTCGCGTTGAGAAACATTGAGACATCCGGCTTCGGCCTTTAACTCCTCGTGCGGCTCGACCTTCCTCATCCCCAGGATCATCTCCGCGGGGACGGTGTACATGGGGAAGAGCATGGGAGCAGCCTCCGAGGCTCAGGTGCGAAGGTCTCTGCACCCACATAACTACATAACTACGTATCTACATAACTACATAACTACAGAACTACATAACTCCATAACTACATAACTACATAACTGCACCTCGAAGCACTCAAACAAGCTCCCCCCCAAACCTGCTCTCGAAGGACTCAAGGGGGGAGAACGTTCGCCACAACTTTATAAGTGGAATCTCAAATGAAGTAGGGTATTTATATTTCTTATAAAAACACTCACCAATAACAGTCATATAAACCCTGCTTCAAACGACTCTTAGATGTGTCAACTGCCAAGTGGCGTCCGAGTCGCTGGGCAGCCTTTGGGCGTAGACTTCCAGCGGCGTCGCCGGCTTGGAGACGCAGCATGCCATGGGCTTCCGAAAAGAAGCAACGCTTAAAAAGAGAGAGGCCCCCCCCCCCTATCTGCCCAGATATCTGCTAACCGAGAACACGAGGTATAATCACAAGGATTGCAACCTTTGGGTCGTGGCTTTCTTGTGCTCCTCACCTTGCCAGTGCTGCTGTCAGGAATGATCTTGTGGGTTGCTCTAAGCTTTTCCCCTTCCGGCAGCATGTGCAGAGGAACCTGGAATCTAGAACAGCCTCCCTTGGGCCACAGGGACTATGCCTTGGGTTATGGCGCGCATGACTTCGGAGTTCGAAACCATGTTTCTGGGCTCTTGTGACAGGAGGGAAGGTCCGGCGGCGACTTCCTTCTAGCTTATCTACGTTGGGGCCTTTTGTTCTTCGAGCTATTGGCAGAGGCTCAAGGCTTGGGTTTGTGACTCAAGGGAGCACCGAGTCTGCAGCTTTCTGGCTCTCAAGACTGCTTCTTGAAGTCCAGAATTGTGCGGCTGAAAACCTGCTCTCACTAAGTCTCCGCAAGGCCCAACGTTTACGTAATTGACTGGGACACACCGGGGAAAGCCTGGCCCTCCGGGGGGAGCTAACTCAGGGTTGTTTGTGGTGCTCAGGGCCTCCAAAGAGCACGCTTCACATGGAGCGTTTTGGGCTGAAGCGGAAGACCACTTAAAACGGCCCCAGCAACCTGTCCGCTACTCTACTGTTGCCCCCTTTGTGTCGACTTTCGTTCCTTTTTGCTAAGCCCCCCCCCAAGCCCCGGAGCCAGAAAAACGAAAGGCTACGGCCAGCCTTAGCCGCGAAGCCTAGCCGAAACCATTGTAATTATCATGCTCCGCTCCCCAACATAGAACCTTCCCCCGGTTTTGCCATCTTTTACGAGTCGGCGCCCTTTGCGACTATCCTTGCGGCCACCCAGCTTTCAGGGACCTCATGGTGGGGGTTTCGGATGCGGGTTTTTTTGTCCAAGATACCCTAAACCCTAAACTTCCCTCGCGGGCTTCGCATGAAGTTGAACTCACGAGCAAACCCTAAACCCTAAACCCTCCTGCACTAGCACTCTATATGTCCGGAAATTGTGTTTGCTTACGCATTCAACGTATGTGCGCATGTACGGCTGCACATGGAAGGACTAGTGTGCCACACGCTGCAGAAAACGAGCAATGACGATTGCATGTATGTGCGCAGGCAGATTCGTGATGTTGTGCTTGCGATTGTTCATGTGATTACGACGCCAACTCCAAATCCTGTGATTTCTAACCGAGCCTCTGCGACCACAAGGGACTCAGGCCTGAAAAAAAAAAAACGAATCAGGCCCCCACGCGTCAGAGCTCAGTTCCTGGCCGTCGACGTAGCGTAGCCTCCGGCTTTTGGTGCTCTGAAACTTCGGGGCTTCAGGCACTGCGGATAAAGAAAGCCTCGTTCAAAGGCCAAGGCTTGTGTCCATTAAAAACAAAATCTAAGAAAGAACCAGAGGGGGCCTTCGACTTACCAGCGCCAATTCGATACCTGAATCGTGCCACCGGCCTCGGGACGACAAAGCATGCCTAGTGGCTTGTAGGGCTTGCCACCCAAGATCTCCGAGTAGGATGTAGGGGATTCTGTTTTACCGTGGCAAGCGAGCCCATAAACCATGTTTGGGCGTAAAGGCCCGTGCCACACAGGATTGTAGAAATCAGTATTCAGAGTCTTGTGGTTGGGAGGCTCAAGTTTTACTGCGGTTTTGATTCAGGAAGGCTTGCCGTCAAATAGAACGCAAAGGGCGAACTATATACATAAAAAAAAAAAATATATATATATATATATATATAGATATACACATACATACTGCGCGTATGTCTAGATGATGTATATGCGTCCTACATTCAGGGACCCATGGGTAGCGGTCGTGCTCATTGAAGCGCCCGGGTCCAAGAGCCGCGCGGAAGTGGCTGGAAAGCCAACGCGGACGCGTCTGACGCGCGTTTCCAAACTCCAAATTTCTTGTTGCTAGTATTCTTGCTATTGCCATCTAAATTCGGAAACTACAAGTATTGATCGTAAAGAAAAAGAACATGAGTAGGCGTTTGTATTTTGTGCCCGGCTTTGCAAGGGCCGTTGGATCTTGTGTCCAGCAGACATGGCAGCTCACTATAAACTCGCTAAATCCACTTTATGTGGGGGGGGGGGCTGTGCTGGGCTTCGAGCTCTGATGTGCCAGGGGTTTAGGGCTGGCAAGTTCTAAAGAGGCGGGCTCCGGGCACTAGCAAGTAATACCCTAAACCCTAAACCCTAAACCCTAAACCCTAAACCCTAAACCCTAAACCGTCTGAAGGTGCCCAAGCCCAAGACTCCATGGCCTGACGAAAGCGAGGCAGCAGCCGAGGGGCGCTCTCGGACTGGAACTGGGCCAACTGGGCGCCTCTGGCGGATTGGGGTCTTTAGGGTTTAGGGTTTAGGGTTTAGGGGTTAGGGGTTAGGGGTTAGGGGTTAGGGGTTCGGGGTTCGGGGTTAGGGGTTAGGGGTTAGGGTTTAGGGTTTAGGGTTTAGGGTTTAGGGTTTAGGGTTTAGGGTTTAGGGCCTAGGAGAGCTCAAAAGCGGGGCATGAAACTGCAACGATTGGGATGCCTTAGATCGATCGTTGTCAGCCTGGGCGGATTTGAGCCCGATACTGTATATTTCTGACTATGGGGGAAGTTGAATGAAGAGGCAAGCGCAGTTCTTAAGGCTCTTGCGAGAAAAAAGGCCGCCAGTGGGCCGCACTACCAAAGAGCACGTGAAGGAACGTATCTTCTCGGGCGACTGCGCCAACGCTGAGAACGAACGCTCGCCATGGTCACGTCATGTCAGGGTGAGGAGATTGCAGACTTTTATCGGGCATTGCGCGCCTCCCGGGGCTTATCCTTCCGCGACTTTCGCGCGGTTCTCAAACTTTGAAGGGAACACCGCAGGGCCCACTTTGAGCGGGACTCGCGGAGCATCAAGTAACTGCATCCTCAGTTACGCTTAGCACTCCCTCAACGTGCTGGCGGTCCGAATGTCTGGGCATAGCTTCGGAGACCTTTTCCGTCAATTCCGTTGGTCCAAGCCGTCCAATCCGGACCGCATTGGCCCGCATATGGGGGCACCAGCCCCCCTCTTTGGCGAGGGTTGCTGGCGAGTACTTGTCGTCCGACATCAGTCGAAGTCATCCCACTTGCTGGGCCATTGGTTGCTGTGGCAGACCAATCGAAGCTGATGAACTCCACAACAGCACCGGTGTCCGTGACGAGGGCGATGCCCGCGTTCGACGTCTCCATCGAGTTGCTTAATGGAGCATAGTCCATAACCTCAAAGCGGGGCACCAAGCATCAGGAAGAAAGCCCAACGTAGAACGCTGTATGGATCACGTACTATGTCAAGTTTAAGGCTGGAATGCGCGGGTGCAAGAAAGGAAACATTGTCACACAATCTCTTAGGGTTTCTTGTGCTTGTAGTGCTTCTTGGGACATCAGAGCTTTCATGCAGCCCTTTGATTGCCGACTGGGCAGGGGGGCCCATGTTTAATGCCACGGCGCGCGCAGGCTACTGTGAGTGTAGTTCAAGGTTGGGAAGATTCGGCTCTCTCGTGGCTGTTGATGCTTGGCTTCTGTTCTTCATAGGCCCTAGAGGTTGTGGAATGGCTTTCGGACTCCGGCTAAGCTCATGCTGACACTGTGCATCTTCGGATTTGGTCTGCGTGATGCATTGATGCATTGAGTCTTCTTGGTCCTGCATTTTTTCCTTCGCTCAGACAGAAGCGATTACAACCCACTGTTCAGGCCACGGCACCCAGAAGCCATAGCATGGATCAGTGTCATCGACGCCATGTTGCCCAATGATTCCATTGAGGATATCGGTGCGGTAGACTGACGCACCTTGGGTGCTTTTGCCACTGGTGCGAGGTTACTCAGAAACGTGTTTCGTGTGCCATGGACAGGCGAGAGCTGTGTGAAGACCACAGAAGCGCCTCGAGACTTGAACTCTCACACACAGCAGAGCAGATGATGAGCAAATACATCACCACACGCACACAAGCTGGCCAAAAAATGGCCGGACTTCTCAAAAAAACTCCGAGCCGCTGCCAGGAGAGAAGGGGTTTCCCTGCTTGTAGAAGACCAGCTGCCATCCCGTCAGGTCCGTCCCTGCGAGGCCTCCGATCTCCACGTAGTTGCCACCTTGATCCCCGGAGTCGTCCAAGTAGTTGATCTCATTAAGCCACGCTTCAAACGTGCACGTCCTCGGCACCGGCTGTGCATCCCTTATTTTCTCTATTCCTGATATTCCGATGATATTCCTGATATTTTTCAGGTGCATGTGAAGGAACATGAGAAGCTCCTATGTCTGCGCACATGCTGCCACAGGCACACGCACGACCGCGGCGGCGCAGGCTCATTGAAGAGCTGGACATCGGGCGCACCGCTCCCCGTGTTCCTCAACCCGGGCGTGAGCCATGCGGGCCCTGACCACACAAAATCCGGGCCGCAGGTGCCGCTGCCTCCGAGCTGAAGAGTGCGCACGTTAAAGTGGACGATGTTGAGATGTCCAACGTCGAGCATCGTCACCGAAGTCATCCCACTGGCTGGACCGTCTGATGCCGTCAACGGATCGCCCCCGTAGCTGATGAACTCTGTGACGGTGCCCGAAGGGTTCACCAGGGCAATGGCCATATAGTCCGCAAGTGCATCAAAAGCCGTGTAGTACAGGACCTCAAATGTTACATGCCCCTGGATTTCATAAGAAACATCTATGGGCTGGGCAGCGACTGGTGTGAAGGTCTATGTTATTGAGAGTTTAGGGCTAGAGTGCAAGGAGGACCTTTACAACCTGTACAGTTTTACAACCTTTGGGATGCTGAGGACCGAGAAGTTTGCCCCGTAAGCTCAAGCCGTGGCGCACTGAAACCGTAACATGGATCTCGGTTATCCACGCCGCTCTTCCCGATGAACCCAGTAAGGGTGTCCGTGCGGGAGAGAACACCTGGCATCAAAAAAATGGGGCTTGGTTCCTGCTTTTTTATCGGGCAAAGCTCACAGCATGTTTGCTTGTTAACCCCTAAACCCTAAACCCTAAACCCTAAACCCTGAACCCTAAACCTATACATCCTAAACCCCTTGCTAAACGTCCAAGAGCCGCCCACTCCATCTGATGCTGATGGATTAAAAGGGTTGGGCGGCTGCTTGGCGTAGACTGCCAGCTGCCAGCCGGACAAGTCGGTGCTATGGATGCCCGCGATCTCCACATACTGGCCTGAGTTGGGTGTTAAACCCTTTGAAAATGAATAGGTTCCCTCAAAAAAGGAATTACAGCACCGAAGACCCCAAACAGTCCAGAAGGGAGGCAGAGGGAGACAAAGGGAGACAAAGGGAGACAAAGCGAGACAAGGAGCACTGGAATTGGCAAAGGCCACCCACACGAAGGGAGACAGAAGGAAAGGCCACCGGCATAAAGCGAGACAACAGGGAGACAACAGGGAGACAACAGGGAGACAACAGGGAGACAACAGGGAGACAACAGGGAGACAACAGGGAGACAACAGGGAGACAACAGAGAGACAACAGGGAGAAACAGACGAGACAAAGAAGAGACAAGGACCCGAAAAACCTGGGGCAATGCTTGAATTGGGGAGGGGAGACAAGTGGAAGCAGCGGACCTTGGCCAAGGCCACCATGAAGGGAGAGGGGGACAAGGAATTTGTTGCCTGAGGTTGATTGCTGTGGCGCGACTCTTCAGAGCCGGAGGCTCGAATCGAGACAGGCCAGAACATCCGACATAGAGAGGCAGCACACACTCGACATAAGCAACTTACAGCATTGCAGGTCTGCTGTGGTGTGCGTGAGAAAGTCCCATGTCCGATCGCCATAATCCCATTGCCATGCCGTCCTCCAACCAACCTGATGACATGCAATCAGTGCATAACCTGGGCCCGGCCGGCCAACAGGTTATGAGCCCAAGCGCTCAGGGCTTGGCTTTGGATGGGGACGATCGAGGTCCCGACTACGGCGGTGAGGCTGATGTGAGCGGAATGGATGGTGGCCAACGCGGGGTACTGATGAATGGTGTTGCTGGATTTCGGGATCAGCGGGCGCTTTCGACCTATGGGTCGGTGGCGCCCCCTGACTCTGTTGCTGACGCCGCACGTATCCCTGGGCCGACTGCAGCTTCTGTTTCGGATGCCACGACAGCTGATGACACCGGACCGGGCGCGACGACAAACGTGGGACACGCATACACTAGGAATGCGGATGTACGCATTCTGACGGCGCCGGCAACTTTTCGCTGCCTTAATCAAAAAAACCACTAAACCCAAAAAAGGTAAGGATCTAAAGTTACAGTAAAGTGCAAGAGATGACCACTACGACGACCGTGGAACAATTTGCTGCACTGCCTGTGGCTGAGGTGACAATGAGCTCTCAGGCTAACCATCGGGGTTTTCTCCTCCAGAGGAACTGTTGGATGGTTCTCCACGGGCAGCGGGCGCCAACACAATGGGCCAGTATGGATTGCACGCCTTGGAGAGTTTCTTCAACGCCTCAACGCAGGGTGACTCAAGCGAGGGCTATCTTGGAGAGGACGACGAGGCAGACTCCGACCCTTTCCCCGCCAGCGAGTTGGACCCAGGATCCAGGACGCTTGTTCACGCCAGAGGCTGAGCAGGTGATGCAATCTTGGACTAAGTTCAGTCTGCTATGAGGGACCACCAGGAGGAGCTCAAGAGGACTAAAGGACGCCAGGAGGCCTTGGAAGAAGAAAACAACCGACTTCGAGGTTCACTGCGGCAACGGGACACGAATCAACTTGATGGTGGCAGCAATCTGGTGGGACCTCCAGGAGATCCTGAGCACACGCTCGTTACGCCTCCCGGACTTGAGCGAGGTGGTGGAGTGGGTTCTGACCTTATGGGTGGAGGCAATCCTGCTGGACTACCACGACATGCTGAAGTCGTTCAGGGTGAAGTTGGTGTGCAACGTGTACGCGCAGAAGAGCAAGCGAGGCATCCATGTGGCCGGTAGTGTACGTTTCAACCTGCTTGAAGGTGCATCAAGAAAGGCATGAACGTGGAGCGATAAGACCTGAATCAGGGGCTTCTGCGTGTGAACCTCTTGGCCTTGGACATGGAAGGCAGTCAGGGGGAGCAGGAGTTTCCCAGGAGGCCCCACGTGCACCAGGACAACACCGAATCTCGAGCGGTAGCACTGCGCCGCCACCTCCACCGAAGATGTCGGCACCGCGAGCTTGAAGGCGAGGACTTCGGAGCCTGAGGTGGTGAAACCGGGTCGGGTTGACCTCCCGCGTCTCGCCGAAGCATCGGATACGAGTGCCATAGATGTGGGGGACTGGCTTCACAGCCTCATGAACCCGATGGGCGACCTCTCCAACTCCTCCTCTTCTTGGCGGCACGCAGTTCTCACATCCCTCGAGGCCTATTACCAGGCATACTTGCGAGCTTCCACTCGAGACAAGCTGAGTTTGAGGCCGGAGACGTTTGCCTGCGCTGAGGTTGGAGACAGCAAGTGGTCGAGCGTGGACAAACGAGCAGCATCCATGATCCTGGCTAGTCTTCCAGAGTCGGTGAAGGGTGAGATCATGGCGGCAAGGCTTTCCGGCACGCTACAGATCTTGGCTCGGGCGATGGTGCTCTATCGACCAGGAGGAGCAGCGGAGCGACAGCAAGTGTTGAAGGCCTTGGAAAGTCGGCCGTTGAAGCGCTGCGTCGGTGGTCTCGTTGGCTGAGAAGGGCAGAGCATGTGGGACTACAACCCCCGGATTCCAGCGTGTTGCTGAAGGGCCTGGACATGATGGTTCGAAAGCCCATCACGGAGAGCAGCGAGATATCGTTCCGCATCGGCATCCTCCGATACAACCTGGAGGTGGACACGAAGCCCTGCACTGCCACAGTCAAGGAGCTGCACCAAGCGCTGCTGTCTGAGTTTGAGCAGGTTGCCTTCAAGGGGAGATGTAAGGGCGCTACAAACTTGAGGGCGATTGGGACCGGGACACGTTCAGAACCTACCCCCTCCACAACGTTGCCTCCGAGCGACCCCAACAAGAAGAAGTCCACACCTTGCAAGTTCTTCCTTACAGACAATGGATGCAAAAAGGGAGGATCATGTCAGTTTTCCCATGATGCTGACAGGAAACAGAAGCAGGGCAGACGCTTCACTTGTGGAAGCAAGCAGCGTGTCCAGAAGGAGCCCCCAACACGCCCCAGGAGCCCAGCGAAGACAACACCAACGGCTGCGACATGAATGCCCTTCCGCCAAGCACAGAGTCGGTAGTATCTGGGCAGTCATCGTGTGGCACTGAATCACAGGCTGACGTTCAGTCGCTTTTGAGAGAGGCCTATATGATGTTGCGCCAGATGACACAGATGAACCTCAAGACCCTGACTTTGGCCACAGTGGAGCGAGAAGCAGATTGTCGAACGGGTTTGCTGGATTCTGGAGCGTCGCACGCGTACAGAATTGGGTCAGAGGAAGAGTTTCAGGCGGCCACAAAAGTGCAGGCCCAATTGGCAGACGGCAAGGAGGTTGAGCTACCAGACTTCAATGGGGACTCTCTTATCCTCGAATGATCAGACGAGCCCCATAGTCCCTCTCGGCGAGCTCATTGAGAGTCTGGACTGCAATTTGGAGTGGACTCGAGATGGCATGACGATACAACACCCCCAACGAGGTGAGATTCGCCCTCGCATGGTCGCCAACTGCCCGACTGTGACAGAAGGACAGGCGTTGGAGCTGATCCGGGACATAGAGGAGAAGAAGAACCAATTGGTGAATGCCACAAGGTCTTCAGCGAAGTTGCTTTGGTGTTGGGACAGGGAGCAATCTTGGTCGCAGCATCTGTTCGACTTCTTGGACACGGGTTGAAGGACTGCCCAGCTCCGGGCCACGGAGGCGGAGGATTCTCCTTTCAAGGGGTTGTCGGCTTCTGCGTGGCTGCCTTGGCCGAAGAGGTGGTTCTCAATGTGGATGCTGGTGCTAAGTACGCGAGGGCCATGCCGATATCGAGGAGAGAGAATGCGGCGAACGCTTTTGGCTGCCCCTTGGACATTGCATCTGCACGCTGGAGGAGGCAATCATGGGGTGTTGAAGTCTCTCGGGCCGATGCTTGAAGTGGATGTCCAGATTTCCAAGGCCTATGACCTTCGCAAGACCGCAGGAACTTATCGAGCTCTTCTCTGATCCGCTGCACAAGGATTACTTGATGGTGTTGTTGGCGCTCCCCCCTTGCCGAGGAGCAGAAGATGAAGAGTTGGTGGCGAAGCAGATGTGGCTGATGACGAAGAGAGCGGGTTTTCCAGTGTACTTGGCGATGGAAGGAGACAAGCTGCTGGGTGAGCTCGCTAAGGAAGAGGATGGCTGCTTACCAGTGGCGAAAATCTTCACAAGCTACAAGGATGCCATGTGCTTGGAGACCTTGACTCCCGGCGTCCTTACCAACCTCCATGTGCAGTTGAATGATGAGAGTAAGAAAGTCAGCGATGGGCGATGGACGGCAACGTTCAAGGAGTCCCTCGCGCAGGCCGTGGAGCAGTGGAAACTGAGGCCTGAGGAAGTTCAGAGGGCGAAATGGATGGCAAAGATGGACAGCAACCCTGATACTTTCCTCAAGGCTCTGAGTACCAAGGAGCTGGTGGCCTGGAAGACTCACATCCGGAACAACCACATTCCGTATAACCGAAGATGCCGTACCTGTGTTGAAGCATCAGGACTGGGAAGAATGCACAAGAAGGTGAAGACGCCGAGCTCATACTGCTTGTCGCTGGATATCCTCGGACCACTACGACAACATGGTGAAGATCCCGATCACCGGGACTATCGCTACATGCTGGTGGGAGCTTACCTCTTTCCGAAGCTCGAGTCCTTCAAGAAGAAAGAAGGCCAAGAAAACCCAGAACGACCATCAGCACCAGATCTAGCAGAAGAAGAGGGTGTAGATGAGGGCCATCACTTTCATCCCGTCATGGAGGGGCCGAGCGTCATAGGTGGTGTGGGTGTGGAGGACCTTGTCGGAGAACAGGGCGCCATTTCCTTCGACGACATGTTGGCGGAAGAAGAGGAGGACCTTGCACCGCTTCCAGAAGAAGAACCACCTGTTGGATTGTCAGATGAGGACTTCAAGAAGTTGTTTGGGGAGGAAGTTGGTGACGGGGACCCGGAGTTTCAAGTCCTCTATGTGGCTCGTCCGTTGCGCGCTCGGACGACAAACGAGATTGGAGGTGAGAGGAACGGCCTTGAGACGGTGGCTACTACAACGGGGAACCATTGCTACGTACACCACAGAGCAACGGGAGGGCGGAGGCTGCGGTCAAATGGATGAAAAATCAAGCGAAACGGCTTCTCCTCGCGACACCCGTTCCTCGGTCGTGTTGGACGGCCGCCATGACCTATTCGGCCTGGGCACAGAGGGAAATCGCTATGGGACGAGGAGCTGACCTACTTCCTTTCGGCTCCAGGGTTCACCTAAGATCCAAGGTCTACGGCGCTGGAACTCACGGTGAAAGCCAGGCTACTATGTGGGGCCCAGTGCGGATGTTCGTGGCGGGCATGTGGTTCGTTGTGACGATGGCACTTATCTGACATCCCAGCACTTGCGCCCGAACCTCGTGGACTCAGACAAGCTTGGTAGTAAGCCTGACTTTGAGGCCGTCGTCACAGAGCCCGTCAGAAGAGTGGTAGGCAAGCGCAAACCACCCATGATGGAAGAGCCTCAGGAGGAGGACATAGAGCATCTGCTGAACCAGCTCAAGAGATGAGTTAGCTGTTCGGCGGCGCGGAAACTTGGCACGTCACTCATAGCGTTTTACTTCTCGAAAGCGCTAAGCTTCTATGAGACCACGTGGCACCCGCGTTCTTCTGCACGGGAGCACACTGGGTTTCGGTGGGACCCGCGTTCTTCTGCGTGGGAATGCACTAAAAATCGGCGGGGCCCGCGTTCTTCTGCGTGGTACCGTGCCGGGTCTCGGTGGGCCCGCGTTCTTCTGCGTGGGACCGTACCGGGTCTCGGTTAAACCCGTGTTCTTCTGCGTGGGACCGTGCCGGCTTCCGGCGGGACCCGCGTTCTTCTGCGTGGGACCGAACTGGGTTTCGGGGAGGCCCGCGTTCTTCTGCGTGGGACCGTGCCTGGTTTCGGCGGGACCCGCGTTCTTCTGCGTGGGACCGCACTGGGTTTCGGTGGGACCCGCTAAATCCCTCCGTTCTTCTGCGTGGGACCGTACACCCCGTTTGGGTTTTACAAGGCTAATTAAGGAAAGGGGAGGGCCCCGCTGGACCACTTTTTTCGTGTAGTTGTAGCGTTGTAGTCCAAGTGTCTGCCCAGCCGGTGCGTTGGTGTGTGGTCTGTAAAGCCCGGAGCGGTCTTGCCATATTGGTGGGCTTGCTTTTGGTACCGCCAAGCGGTCAACCGTCCGGCTTCAACAGGAGGGGCCCGGATAGTATCGCAAGAATGCCGTCAGGTAGCATGATCGAATTCTCTGCAAGAAGGGCTTCTACAATGCCTGGCAATGTCACAGCAAGGTCCGTGCAAACATCTTGGATGCTACAGCACCATTAATTCTTGGCGGCAATGTGCCCGATTGGCGTGCAAAATTCGCGGTTTCCGGCTTCGTTTTTGGGGCTGTTTTCTGGGCAGGACGAGGAGTGTGCGAGGGCGCTACTTGAGGAGGAGTCTTTGGAGAAGGATCAAGTGGAAATACTGGCAGGGTTGTTACCAATGAAGACCGACGCGCCGAAGCGGTTTGGTGAACCAGGTGAAGATGGCGGCTGGCGGTCGTCGGGCGGGAGTCCGGTCATCATCATCTGCCTTCCCCTGCACCACGAGAGTCCTCACCAAGTACCTGAAACAACTCCAACCAGATGCCTCTTTCTCAGCGGTGGCCCTGTTCATCAACATGCGGACAGAGGCCCACAAGGATGTGCACAACTGGGGCATGAACATCATTACCCCGCTTTCGAAGTTTGAAGGGGGAGGCTTGCTGATGGAGCCAGCCGGGGAGGAGTCCTATCAGCTGAACGTGAGTGAAGGGCCTGTGCAGTTCGACCCAAGGTGAAACAGTCTACGCTTCCTTTGTCAGGAGGAGACAGATTGGTTCTCGTCGGATACCACAGTGGCAAAGGCGAAGGGATTGGGATCACCGAGCGATTTCCGTCCTCTGCACTCGATCAATGAAGACTTGGAGATGGTGCTCAAGGATTTGGACGAGCGGGCAGCAAGGCTGAGAGACTTGCTTGGGGAGGAAGAGATCCTTGCAGAAGAGTACCGCAGGTGTGGAGACATTACGAGGGAGACGCTGAGCGATGCCAGGAGTGAGGTGTCGAAATTCTTGGAGGAGACCCATGAGCAGATCGTGGAGCTCGAACGAGTCCGCACGTTGAACTGCTTGAGGATTGCTAGCATGGCTACAGGCGATCCGGCGACGGCAGAGGTGGACTATGAGCAACTATTGGCGGACCTGGAAGGAGACTTGGACGTTATTCACAATGTGCCCTTGGAACAAGTGAAGGGCTTTCTCTCACGATGGGTGGAAGCCATCAAGGAGAAGGTGACGCCAGCAAAATGTGTCTTCACGCTCAAACCTCCGAAATCGAAGGGAGGCAAACACAGACGGAAATGTCGTACCGTCATTTGTGGGAGTTTCGTCGATCCCTCCAACATGTCCCTGTATGCCTCGGGCGCCAGCACGGAAGCTTTGCGAGTGGCACTAGTGACTGCGGCGATCAATCACTGGGATGGGGCTACTGCTGACATAGTGACTTCTTTCCTCTTGGCGACGTGGCTTGGTGACATGCCGAAGTATGGGATGAAGCCGCCAAAGGTGGTGAGGGACGCAGGAGCTGCTGGTGATGAGACGTGGGTCATTGTACGTCCGTTGTATGGACTCAGGGAGAGTCCAGCCATATGGAGCAACTTCAGGAATGCCAGATTGAAAGCGGCGAAGATCAAGTTTGGCTCCCTGGAGTTAACCCTCACCCACGATAGCCGAATCGGAGCTTTGGCTGGTGAGAGACTCCTCCAAAAGGTTACATGGCCTTGTCGCGACGTACGGCGATGATTTGTTCTACTTCGGCAACACCCCGGTGATCCAGTGCCTGCACGACTTCGTGAAGGAAGAGTGGCCTACCTCTGACTTGGAGCGGATCAACGAGAACACCGCTGTCAGATACTTGGGAGTCGAGGTGAAAAAGGAGGGAGCCAGTTACAGCATTGGCCAGCAAGCATACATCATGGAACTGTTGCGTACGCATGACCTACAGGACACGTTGCACACGGAACTTCCGGTACCTCGTGAATGGCTAGAGCAAGTGGAGCTTCAAGACCCAGAGCCCGAGGATTTCTCCGAGGAGGAGTTGCGCATGGGCCAACGATATGTTGGCGAAGTTTCCTGGCTAGCCATGAAGACGAGACCAGATATCGTTTTCGTCGTGAATCACACGGCGAACCACGTAGGACGTCGACCCTGCACGTAGCAAGGCTTGGAAAAAGATTGATGTCCTATTTGGCGGCGACAGCAGGAATGCGATTGCGTATGGCACCAAGGCTCGACAAGCCCAAGGAGCTCGTGCGCTACACGGACGCAGCTTCATCACTATGAGCGTGATGGAGTGCAGGCAGAACTCTATGCCGCCACTCAGGGCTGCAACCTCCTGGACTCGATTGCGGCCATCTTGGATGAACTGGCGCCAGGTGTCTACAAGCGCGTGCTGGCTATAGACAACACATCGGCGGCTGCGATGTGCCGAGGTGGACCAGGGTCGCAAAGGACACGACACTTGAAAATTCGAGCGCATTATTTTCGGGAAGCCACTGAGCTGGGACTGCTGGAGATTCGTCACACTCCGATGACAAAGGTCCGCCTTCGCCAGCTCCTAGGGTTTTGTTGGGTTCAGAATCGCAGAGACCTTGGCTACTCTCCAGTTGAAGATCCTAGCGGCGATCCTCACAGTGGTCTCGTTGTTCACACCGGCCACCGGGCGTTCGCTGGAAGATGAGGACTTGAAGGAGCCGATCCCGCCAGTGCACTACTTTGAGCTCATGTGCATCACCATGATGATATGTGCCTTGGTCATCGGTTGCTGGGAGAGTGCGAAACTGGTGTATCGATGGGTGCTTCGACAGCATCGGCGTGCGAGGAAGGCATCGAAATTGGAGCAGATGAGGAATCTGGTTTCGAGGGCAGCCCAAACTGAAGTCGCAATCCAGGCCACAGCAGCTGATCTGGATGAGACGCCGATGACCATGATGGAAGCACGGAGTCCGCAGCCGGCGGCCCTGCGAAGACGAGCAGAGCAAGCTACGAGCCAGAATTCCCCAACTACCAACCATGATGGCCTATCAGTTTTCTCAGATGTGCCCACGGAAGTTCGCCAAAATGATGCTGATTTGAGAGAAAGCTTGGGAGTGGCTAGGGACCTCCTCATGCTGATGACGGTTGAACATCTCCGACAGGCGTTGAGGATTCAAGGCCAGCCCACGTCAGGCGTGAAAGGAGATTTGGCAGAGAGGCTGAAGAATTACTTCGGAGCTGAGGAGCCTCCCGCTGGCTCTATGCTCCCTTCCACCAGGCAGCTTCGCTTTTTCCTCTACATCTGGCGTCATCGCAACTTTTCCGGCCGACATCACCTGATTTGGCGTGGACTGCTCCCGAAGGGATGGTCCAAGGAGGAGTGTTGCCTGAGGTTGATTGCTGCGGCGCGACTCTTCAGAGCCGGAGGCTCGAATCGAGACAGGCCAGAACATCCGACATAGAGAGGCAGCACACACTCGACATAAGCAACTTACAGCATTGCAGATCTGCTGTGGTGTGCGTGAGAAAGTAACAGAATTCTTAAGAAGAACCAGGAACCCCTACAGTAAACTGTCATTGGGTGAAAGCTCAGATATGAAATCAAAAAACTATCCCAAAGCACAACCCAGTTGGCTTAGATATATCGACGGCCTGTAAGCGATCTCGTTGATCCAGACTGGAGAAGCGCACGTCCTCAGCACATGCTATTAACGCGGCATCCCCCTCTTCCGTAAAAAATGCTCCTGTTTATAAGTGGGTTCTAAGTACAGTAGTACCATGAACCTCCAAGTAGAAGTCATACAGAGCGCACCTTGCAGAAGGTGCCTTTGTGCGCTACGACCCCCCTATGCTGCCACAGGCACGGGCACACCAAGGAGGGTTCAACCTCATTGAACACCTGGCCAACCTGTGTATTCCGACTGGTCCTGGTTGCGTTTGCGGGCCCTGACCACCAGAAATCGGGCCCGCAAGTGCCGTAGCCTCCACGCTGCACTCCATTGTACGGGGATTTCACGCTTTTGGTGGGGTCCATGATCTGCAAGGGTGTCATGCCTGCTGCTGGACCATCACATCCTGCAGGCAAAGACCCCGAACTGACGAACTCTACCACGGCGCCCCCAGGGGAGACCAAGGCCAAGCCCACCATTGCAAAGTACAAATCATCAGTGAAGGCCGTCACCTCAAGCCCCGTGGCAGGCTCGACTTAGCGAATTGCAAGGTGGCACAGGATTTAAGGTGCCTAATATAGGGGCCTTGATAATCAGAAGAGGGTTTTGGGGGGTTATCATCGTATGTCATAAAGGGACCCTACAAAAATACTGCTAGTAATTATTCCGACATATTATATAGTCTCAGGGGATGCACTGGTGTGCTGCCCGGAACGGAAATTCCCCACCACTGATGCTCCACCCTGGAGACCTCTGCGGGTGTAAAGTTTTCCTGGAATTGTTGTGCCATGCTTTTCCGTGCTAAATTCCCGAAAGTGTATCAAAGGGGGTCAGGGCCCTCGGGAGGCACGTGACCCGCGCGATTTGCGTGCATCGCTGAATTTCCAGAGATTTTAGTGAGTTCAAACGACCGATGGGGGGCTATCGGATCTATGGTTTGTCTTGCACTAGGGGGGACGGGAGGTCCCGGGAGGTCCCGGGAGGTCCCGGGAGGGGGGTCCGGAAAGCGAAAGAAACGATATTATGGATGTCGCGGAGGGTCCTCTGCACATCTCTGTACTCTTGTCATTCACGGTGGGTCTGACTTTCATATCCACTGTGTCGCAGCATCTGTACCCCTATTGCATTGTTCCGGCCCCAAAAGGGCTGGGAGATGGTGACAGTCTGAAGTCTGAGTTGAGATGTGGCCGCGCTTTAGCCTGTGCAGCTGTATCACAAGACGCGCCGAAGCTTTGAGTGTACTTGAAAGTTCATGGGTTGAAACCATAGTTACCCTCCTTATAACCTACTTGCCCTTGCCCATGAAACTCTAAGTACGACATGCGCCGTCGAGATGTGTGCCGGAAGGAGGCTACGATACGTTACGACTGTTTCGCACAGGAATCCAGACTTCTTCGGCAAGTTCTATAGCATTCGAGGGCAATTTTCTGTTTGGCTGCATTGAGAGGTCTTGCTGCTGCGCTCACCCCGCCTGAAGCGTAGGGTTCAAGGGTAGGGTTCAAGGGTAGGGAGGGTAGGGAGGGGGGGGAAGCTGCGAAGCTGCGAAGCTGCAGTCAACCTCACTTAGACAAGTGAGAGAATGAACCACTCATGGGCCAGGGGTGTCTCACTTCGCGCAAGTTGCCCTGTCTTTTTTTGCTGCGCGTCTATTTGCGCGCAACTTTGTGGATGTCTGCATGTCAAGAATTGAAGCTCAGCAAGGCTCTGAACAAGGAGCACAGTGAAAGCCGCGGCACGCTGAAACCATAGCATGAATCCCGGTCATCCACCATGTCCCCAAGGGTCCCATTCAAGTTGATGTTTCCACAACTCAAGGCACGAAACAGGCAGGAAACCTCCTTATGTCTCCGAGCTGCACGTGGCAGGGACAACATTCCCGAGACTCGCAGGTTTCCCCTGGTACAATAAGACCTGCCATCCAGTCAGGTCGGTTCCTACCAGTCCTGCGAACTCAATGAGTCTGGAATATGAACCAGCCATCGGCGCTTGCGTGTACTGAGAAATCTCGTTGAACCACACGGGGACCGCGCAGGTCCTCAGCAACGAGACATCCCCTCTGCTCCTGATTCCCTCATCAGTTTCCATGCACATAAACATGCAGAGCGGTCAATAAATGCTTCGACCAGACAGAACCCGTAACTTTTGTGAAGCTCCGCTTGTCTGCATTGCAACCAAAGGTGCGGGGGGCTCGAGCAGCCAATTTCGGTGGTGGTGCTGGTGGTGCCGGTGGTGCCGGTGGTGCCGGTGGTGCTGGAGGTGGTGCTGGTGGTGCTGGTGGTGGTGCCTGTGGTGCTGGTGGTGCTGGTGGTGGTGGTGCTGGAGGTGGTGCTGGCCGTGGTGCTGGCCGTGGTGCTGCCGGTGGTGGTTGTGGTGGTGCTGGAGGTGGTGGTTGTGGTGGTGCTGGAGGTGGTGCTGGTGGTGCTGGTGGTGCCGGTGGTGCTGGTGGTGGTGCTGGCGGTGGTGGTTGTGGTGGTGCTGGAGGTGGTGGTTGTGGTGGTTGTGGTTGTGGTTGCGGTTGTGCTTGCGATGGTGCTGGTGCTGGTGCTGCTGGTTGTGCTGGCGATGGTGCTGGTGCTGGTGGCGCCGGTGCTGCTGCTGGTGCCGGTGGTGGCGTCAGGCGCGGGGGTGGCGGTGGTGCCAATGGGAGTGGCGGTAATGGTGGTCGTTGTGGTGATGCTTGCTGCAGTGGTGCTGGCATCCGTCCACGTCTTTCTGTAGTATGACGACGCACGTTTAAGCCATTGTTTGTGTTTGAACCGTCTTGGACGGCTTTGTGGCTCGGCAACCTCTTCCCGGAATAACGCTTTGTCCGCGAAAACCTCGGGGCTTGGTTTGTCCAGTTTGCTAAGGTTACCAAGGTTACTAAGGTTACCAAGGATCACACTTTTCTGTGTAAACTAGGATCCACAAGTCTGAGAGTATTCGCGTGTAGAATTCTAAGGGGCTGCAGGGCTTGCAGGGCTTGTCGTCCCACCTGGATGAAGTCCACCTCATCGCCCGAAGCCTCTCGATTGCACGATTCCTCCTGGCACCTCCACGATAGATGAAAAAGGGTCTCATGCTTTTTTATTGCTAGGGTTTAGGAGGGAGATTCGTGCCCCTGCAGCTTAAAGCGTCCCTAAATGGGGGTTTCGAGTTGACGGCCTTAACGCATGAAACCCTACGTAAACATCGACGCGACATGTTCAAAATTGCAGGCCCCGGACAAGAGGCGTTTTGGCGAACAACAAAACCTTAGGGCCATTTGCCCTTTAGGGCCTTCCTAGGACCCCCGCTGTAACTGGGATGCCCCTTGGGTCTGAACGCGGCAAGGGTGTTGCTTTGATGCAGGTTATTGGAAAGCGTAAAGTGATGATAGAAACGCCTGCGTACTTTAGACTGTATATTGTTTTCAACTGTTCATAAGAACACAGCTATTCCTTTGTGTATTTGATTCATTGCATCGGAAATGCTATCTTGCCTCCTTCTTGCTCCACGAGATCTATACTTTAGCCTAAACCCTAAACCCGAAACCCTAAAACCTAAACTAAGCCCATTCATCTGGATCTGGTTTCTTCACGGAATACAGGCTTTGGCGTACCATGCTTGTAGAAGTAGTCCCGCTTGGAAAGGATTTGCATAGTTTACAAATAGGGTTTGCTGTCGAAAGGCTTTCAGGGGCGTCGACGCTCAGCCCATCCGCACCGGAACAAAAAACCCTAAACCCTAAACCCTAAACCCTAAAATGATCGCAGCTCTAGCACTGCGATGGGAGGGATGACTGTGGGCCCTGAGGCCCTTAAGATGACCTCCAAGAACCCGAGGCGCAGAGCGAACCTCCTGAACAGCAGACGCAGCAGCCCTCTGAAAAAAAAAACACTTCCGGCAGTTCTAAGCTCGGCGTTGCTGGATCAACATGGGTTCAAGTCCTTCACTCCAAGAGGCAACAGTCACGTAGCTTACCCAAAATGAGCGCTGTAACACTCAGAGCCGATGCCCTAAGCTCCCATCCCTCGTCATCCCGAGACCTAGACCGAAGCCCTCACAAACCACAACTCAATCCCTTGATATCGCCTTTTTGTTGATGGCAATGTCGGGGGGGGGCTTTCGAAAATAAGGGACCCCGAATTTTGGGACCCCAATTTTTTTGACCCCAAATCGTAGGGTTCCCTTGTAATTAAGGGCCCAAGAGACCCCCATGTCTGGCCTCGACAGAGTCCCTGAGGCCAACGCTCCCGTGGCCTCGGTAGCCTGGCCCAACATCGGAGCCCTTCAGGCCCTGCTGAGAAGTTGCTGTGATCTATGATACGCTAAGACCTTATAACCTCAACCCGAAAACCCTGAAACCCTAAACCCTATGAACCCCTAAACCCTAACCCTTGATGGGCGCTATCCCAGGCCCACTTGCATGTCTTCGGAAATGGAAGTCTTAGCAGTCCAGGTCTCGGGGGAGCCCTTGGGGTGGAGGGCCAAGGGGGCCAAAAAACACAGGGGCCGAATCAGGTTCTGGGGGTGATTGTTGTATGATTGTAAAGGGGCCCTAAGGGAATACATACTGTTAGCATCCATTCCGACCCCTATCTTCTGCTCTCCCTGCTCCGCCCATCTTCCTCCCACTTGTCCCAGCTTTCGCAGAGCGCCAAGCCCCCGAGAATCCCACAGAGTATCCGGTTGGGTTTAGGGTTTAGGGCTTAGGGTTTAGGATTTAGGGTTTAGGGTTTAGGGTTTAGGGTTTAGGGTTTAGGGTTTAGGGTTTAGGGTTTAGGGTTTAGGGTTTAGGGTTTAGGGTTTAGGGTTTAGGGGTTAGTGTTTAG